CATATGAAAACATGCTCAAAGTCACTAATCATCTCAGAGATACAAATCAAAACAATGAGATACCATCTCACACCTGTCAGAATGGCTATCATCAACAAATCAACAAACGACAAGTGCTGGCAAGGATGTGGAGAAAAAGGAACCCTCGTGCACTGCTGGTGGGAATGCAGACTGGTGCAGCCACTGTGGGAACAGTATGGAGTTTCCTCAAAAAACTAAAAATGGAACTCCCATTTGACCCAGTGATCAAACTTTTAGGACTATATCCCAAGAAAACAGAAACACCAATCAGAAAGGATATATGCACCTCTACGTTCATAGCAGCATAATTTACAATAGCTAAGATTTGGAAACAGCCTAAGTGCCCATCAGCAGATGAGCGGATTAGAAACCTGTGGTACATCTACACAATGGAATAGTATGCTGCTATTAAAAAGAAGTAACTTTTATCATTTGCAAACAGCATGGATGGAACTGGAGAGCATTATGCTATGTGAAATAAACCAGTTGGAGAAATATAAACATTATATGATCTCACTCATATGTGGGTTATAATAATCAATGTAATTTCATGAACAAGAATAGATCGATCTAGAGACAAATGGTAGGGGAGTGGGGGTTAGAGAGCAAGCAAAGGACTTATATGCATGCATATTAGCATAACCAATGGACACAGACACTGGGGTGGTGGGAGCTTGCCTGGTCTGGGAAGGGATGGAGGAGGGGGTCAATTGGGGGAAAATGACACATATGTAAAACTTCAGACAATAATAATAATAATAATAAGAAGAAGAAGAAGAAGAAGAAGAAGAAGAAGAAAATAGATTGTTCTTATAACCTTGAAAAATGGCTATGTTACAGACTAAAATAAAAATCCTAGTGTAACCAACAATTTCACTCTCCTATCCTTTTCATAAATGAAAATATGTTTTCTCCTGCATTATCGTAAATGATCCTCACAGCAACATAATGAAAATATTGCACCATTTTACAGAGGAAGAAATTGAGGCTCAAGTAGATGAGGTGATTTGCTCAATGTCACATACTTAGCATTTAATCTTATAGTGTCTTGGTTGTTACCAGAGTTTGGATCTATTCATCTGAAAAAATGGAAATAATCCCTGCCCCTTCTGTCTCACCACCTTTCAGGGCAGATATACTAAGATAATACATTAGTTTCACAACTACCACCTTATACTTGGTAGATAAATGTGTAGAAGAAACAATTTGTTCAGCCATCTTGTGGTGTGTATCACAGGGCCAGACTAGCATAAACTCTAAGCTTTGTGTCACAAAGGTGATGGGAAACAGTAGTTACCTGTAAAGAGAAAGATCTTAGGACATTGAGCTTTCCTCAGCCTACACTAAAGGTTGCCCACTAAATGTTCAATTGTGATGGCCAGACCTGAACAAAGATTAGTGAAAGAATATAAGATGCCAATATTTCTAAGCAAATTCAAATATCTGGCCCTGTGTAAAGCATAGGCTCCCTACTGTTCCCCTCCATCTACCTTCCCATCAGTGGCCTAGCCAAGAAAATGAAGGCTGTTTTCACAAAGCTCCCACAGTGGAGACAGGACATGGACTTCAGAGTAATCTCAGTGGGCAAAACTCCAAACTGGAATTTCTTGGACAGATGGGTGGTGACTCTTATATTCAAATCCCTTTAATAAGTATATAAGTAGATGGGAGAATCTCTAGCACAAGCTGGATCCTTTTTTTGTGGAAAGTATTACTGGTTTCACACAAGAGACCACTCTACTGTCTTGGCAACAGGACTATTTATAAAATCTTTACAACCAGCCCCAGTCATCAACTTCCAAAGCATAAACTTCACATGGTGAGATTCTCCATCAGTGTCACTAATCAGGGAGAATTGATTGTGAAGAAATAGCATGATTACGCTAGCTGCACATGTAAATGTTCCAATAATGATTTATAACTCATCCCCTTTGAGATTATTGTTTGTTTCCCACCAGAGCTGGTTAGCATCTAGCTAAATTCTATATTCTGCAACCACAATTCCACCTCCCTAAACACATAGGTATATTCATAACCCTGCTTTTTTTCCCCTTCAGATTTCACAGCTGGTGGCTGAAGAGAAACAACCTCTTGGCTGAATTCTTACTCTGCTTTCCCTGACCTGGGAGAATGAAAAGATCTGGATTATTTCTGGGACTCACTACGATCTGATCTTTCCATACTCCTCTGAGTCTCATCTTGTCTAGCCTGCAAAATGGGAATTGGAAGAGGTAGGAGTCCTATATTTCTGATTTAGCATTGCTCTAGCTTGGGAAATTAAAATTACAAAACAAATGCCAAGATAGAAAAAAATGTTGAGAGAAGGAACCAAGAAACTAACTATAAATAGGCTTCTGAGTATTATTTAAAGGGAAGGTATTATAAAGGAACAAAACAATCATGGAACTGTGCTTTTGGGATCTGGGAGGGTGCAGAGCTGAGGAAGCTTAGGTTTCTGCCAAGTTAGAGTTCCTGGCCCCACGGGGGTCCAGGTCCAAGTTTGGGAAAACAGAATCAAGGATTACAGGCTGTGTGACCTGGACAGAGGCAGAAAGACAAGACAAGCAGGGTTTCTTCCCGTCTTGTTCTTATCTGAGTTGTGCAGAGAGTGAATGGTCACATGCCTGGAATGCCTGTGAGGCTTGTCCAGCCCTAGCGGGCTACGGGGCTCTCCTCTTCCCTCACTGACAACCCCCACTCCCATCCCAGCACTAGGACGCCCTCCTGCTCTGCCCTTGGCCCCTCCCTGTGCCCGCCCTCTATCTCCCACCCAGCTTGGACTGCGTCATAAGTATCCCCAGACCTGGGCTTGCAGCAGCAGAAAGCAAACAAGGGAGAAAGGAAGTGCAGCTAGGGCTAGCGAGATCTCCTTTTCCAAACTGCAGCCCAAGAAGCTGATTGCAACCGCGCCTTACCGGGCGACCCAAAGATTCACCATGGTGAAAATCGCCTTCAACACACCAACAGCGGTGCAAAAACAGGAGGCACGGCAAGACGTGGAAGCCCTTGTAAGCCGCACGGTCCCAGCTCAGATCCTGACCAGCAAGGTAGCGGTCCCCACTCCACTCCTGACTGCCTGCTAGGGTCAGGAAGGTGGGAAAGGGGTGTTTTAGGGTGAAGGAAGGGGGAAAGTGATAGAGGACAAAATGAATTCTGGCTGTGTGTTCCAGAGCAATCTCTTCTGTGCTGTCCAAGCGGTTTGCCCAATCGCCCCTGATCTGTCTAGTCGCTCCAGCTTCTGCTTGCTGTGCCCCACCCCCCTTAGCATCCCAGCATGTTGTGCCACGTTCCACAGTTCTAGGAGCAATGTTGGAAGAAGTTTGAAGGGAACTCCTGGGACCCAATGTCACTTTCTCCTGGGGAACAAGAGATTTAACTCTTCTTTCTTTCCTTTTGACGTGTATGAAGTTCTGTGTATCTAAATATTTCTAGGATCAGAGTGTTTGTGGGGGTGCAGTGTGGTGGGCAAGGGGTCACTATGACTGAAAGCTATATGGGTTGGGGCAGTGTGTGTTTGTGCCCACCCCCTGTATATTTTCAGTTTCTCCTTGGTCATACACAGGCAATGTTAAACATTTGGGGAAGGAGCTGTCAAAATTTAGGTTGGTTTTCATTAGAATTTGGGATGTTCACTATGTCCTCTTAGTCCAAGAGTCTTGTATGTTTTCAGAGTGACACTTCCTAAAAAAACAACAAAAAAAACACTCTTGTTTAAAAATAAATTTTAAGGGTTTTATTTTTTTTTTTTTAAATTTGCTTCTTTTGGTACTTTCTTACTGAGTGGTACCCCTCTAGCCCTCCTCCCCCATGAGAGATCTGTCACAGGTCCAACCTTGTAATTTAAGCTTCTAGCATTGCCAGGAACCGAGGAAGTTATCACTTCCCCCCAAATGTTAGCCATTATTTATTTAGTCAAACTTCTATTTCCTTTAAAAATCTAACCTGTTTTCAGTGTTTGTAAACTGATCCTCGTTCTCCTTAGTAAAGTCTCAATGTTAAAAAGCAGACTGTATGTTCTTCTTGTTCTATAAAACCTGTGCAGTATTGGAGTTTGCAGATTTGCCCTAATTTGTCTTGTTCTCTCCATAAAGTTTTAACTTTTGTGCTCAGAGTGGAGATTTAAAAAGTGCTTTGAGTGAATCCAGAACCCATGTAGTAAAACTTATTATGCACACAATTTGAAATGCTAATGTGTTTATGAAGAATTTTTATCATGGAAACTTTCAATATTTAACCCAGCAATCAAGCTAGCTTTTGTGTATTATGCATTTCAGAAATCAAATTTGCACCCCTTGCATTTTGAGGTTTTGATGAAATGACATGTTATATATGTAATTGTCCTACTTACTTTGTAAGTGAAACATGGCCAGATTTGGGGGAGGTCTAATTAGATATTAGTAGTTAAATATAGCCACACAGCAATCCTTTTTTTCCCTCACCACCAAAAACTTCATGACTTATAATTGGATTCAGTTAATATGGAAGTAATACTTCTGCCAGGCCCATGGTGTGATGAGGAATAAAAACAAATGAACATTTGCACTATGATTACATGTCTTTGATAGGCGTTGGAGAAGCTGGCACGCAATTCTGATCTGGCCACTATAGGACACTGATTTAATACTTGAAAAATTATATTGTGATGTATTGATCAGATCATCAGAGATTGAGCACACAGAATAGTAGGTCAGCAGTCATAACTTTAAAATATAGTTCAGAGAGAAGTTAGCTATGGTAAGTGATAGCCCCTACCACCCTGAAGCTCAACAAATTTAAATGAAAATAAATCTTTATTCCTAGCATAATGGGAAATTTTATGAAATTGAAACCTTGCTTAATTAAAAAATGCCATGAATTATTGGAAGGGGAAATAAATTTTCAGTGCAAACTGCTCTTTTTATATCTCAGTGACAAGAAAATAAAAGGAATTAATGTCTTGAGAATTTCAAATTAAGTCACTTTGTTACTTATAGCTAAGTCACTTCATCCTTCTGAACCTCAATTTAATGATCTAAAATATAATTTCTAAGACTCTTGCTCTAGATTACAGTAATTCACAATCATAATATATAGTTATGTCTTTGTAATGTTAATTTAGGTTAGATTTTTGAATAAAAATAATTTAAAATTTCTGAAAATTGTTAGGATAAAGGAAAGCCTTCAAAGTTTATAGAATATTAATGGAGGGCTTGATTTCAAATAAATTCAGCTAAAAAATGTGAATACGAAATTGTTTTGAATTTTATAAGAAAAATCATTTTTGACAAATTATCAAATGATTGCTTCTCCTTAGGATCCATGCATTTATTTTCACCATAAATGAAAATATGAAGGTTAATTAGACCCAAATTATTATAGTAGTTGTCATGGAATAGAGATAATGGCCTTGCATTGTCCTGCACATCAAAAAGGATTCAGGTTCGATTCCCCGTCAGGGCACATACCTTGGTTTTTGGATTCAATCCAGGTCAGGGCTTGAACAAGAGGCAGCCCATCAACATTTCTCTCTCACATTGATGTTTCTCCCTCTCTCTCTCCCTTCCTCTCTCTCTAAAATCAATAAACATATCATCTGCCTTGAGGGTTAAAACAAAAGAATAGAGCTAATGATCTGAAAAACCTAAAGCATTTCCATTTACATACCATTCTGGATTATTTTACATACCATTCTGCATTATTTAGCCTCTAATTACCAATTACTACATTTGCTGACTTCATTTGTTTTACCCTTGCATACTCACATCTTAGGGCATATTGTGACATATAATAATGGGATTGGAGGACTGCTTGGTCCACTGCCCTGGGAAAAGTACAGTTAATTGGTTACTTGTTTACTTTGGTTATTTTTTGTTCCAATTCTTAAACAAATTATGAATTTAACAGTCACTATTACCACAGAGCTTTTATATCTCACTATGGCAAATGCTGTACTATAAAATCTAGAGTTTTGCCCAGAATTTATTTCATTCACACAATGCACAACTATAGAACATTGGGTGGCATTAGCAAGTCTACTTTTTTCATTAAAATTAGGAACATTATAAAATGTATCCCACCATTAATATTTTAATTTTTGAAATAGGTGGAAATGGCATATACCTGCATTATAGAATCCCTCCTATAACACTTACCTTAAAAAACAGATTTCTGATAATTAGTTTAAAATCAAAGGATATTAATTTACTTTTAAGTTGGCAAACAAGTTGATTTACAAAAAATAATAAACATTTGTATGCCAGAAAGTTAATGATTATATCCCAAAAGTAATAACTTCCATTTATTTAAAGAGAATAACAACCCACAAAAGAATAATTATTTCAGCTGATTCTAAAAGTGTGCTTTTTGAAGTAACTTAATATTTATATTTGGGTTAGGAAATGCCAGGAGGAAGATAAATATAATTAGAGATCTTCACATTAAACATCAGAAATTATCTTGAAATTATTTTAGGCTAAGATGACATATTTTAAAAGTATCTTGGGTTTCAAGAGAAGTAAGTTGTACACAATAGCAACTATGTGTCTAAAAGTGCAATCTGATTTTTTCTTTTTTTTTTTTTTGCTTTTTAATAAATAGGAGATTCGAGTTGCTACCCAGCAAAAGGAGGGCTCCTCTGGGAGTTGCATGCTTACTCTCTTAGGCCTTTCATTCATCTTGGCAGGACTTATTGTTGGTGGAACCTGCATTTACAAATACTTCATGCCTAAGGTAATAATAATTACAATTTTTATCATTTGGATTGCTTAATTGCTATACATTTAGTAGAAATTAAAATAATTTTATGTTCCTTACAGGTGAAATGAAGATTTATTGAAAGTTTTCAAGTTACCTTTAGTTTATTAAATTGATTAGTCTTCATGGTGATAACTGTACTCAACAGTCCTCACTTTCTGGGTGTGGGAGGTGGGGCTGGAGAGATTGAGCACAAAAGAAAAAAACTCATGTACACAGATAACAGTGTGGTGATTTCCAGGGTGAGGGAGGTAGGCAGAGGTGGAGAAAGGTATAGGGGTATAAATGATGGATGGAGATTTGACTTGGGATGGTGAACACACAATACAGTGTACAGATGATGTGTTGTAGAATTGTGTACCTGAAACCTGTATAATTTTTTGACCAGTATCATCCCAATAAATTCAATAAAAAGAAAAATAAACAGTCCTCACCTTGTCAAATAGTACAATGAATTGATATTAGCATGAGAAATGATTGTAATGTCATGGTGGTGCATATTAGAAGCTTTTAATTCTTCTTTTTTTTGTCTTTTAGAGTACCATCTACCGTGGAGAAATGTGTTTCTTTGATTCTGAGGACCCAGCAAATTCCCTTCAAGGGGGAGAGCCCTACTTCCTGCCTGTGATTGAGGAGGCTGACATTAGAGAGGATGACAACATCGCCATCATTGATGTACCTGTGCCCAGTTTCTCTGATAGTGACCCTGCAGCAATTATTCATGACTTTGAAAAGGTGAGTTTCTCATTGCCATAGGTATTTGATAATTTTCTATATTTTTAGTTCATTGGTAAATATTAAATCTGTTCATAAATATGCATTTTTCACAACAAAGCTTTTTTCGTTCTTTTGTTATTAAAATATAGCAGTTGATTTTGAACAAATGTAGCTGTTTGTTCTAATGGTATTTGGAAAATCTGCAGCATTGATATTCTCTGGATTATACCTTTTCCCATTCCCTAACAGGGCATGACTGCTTACCTGGACTTGCTGCTGGGGAACTGCTATCTCATGCCTCTCAATACCTCCATTGTTATGCCTCCAAAAAACCTGGTGGAGCTCTTTGGCAAACTGGCAGTATGTATTTTTTATGTCGAATTTTTATATAAGCGTTTCCAAATAAGTTTGCTTTCTCTTTTTAAAAAAAGAAATGATTTTGAGTCAAAACATTTCATTTCATTGGAATAATTTTACAAATAAAAATATGCTGTGAACTTAAACCTGCTCTAAAATAGTTTACTTGATAAGTACTTAAATCGTGTTTTTAAGAATTTCTCATTTTAGTCTTTTTTTTAATTTTTAGAGTGGCAAATACCTGCCTCACACTTATGTGGTTCATGAAGACCTGGTTGCTGTGGAGGAGATTCGTGATGTTAGAAACCTTGGCATCTTTATTTACCAACTTTGTAACAACCGCAAGTCCTTCCGCCTTCGTAGAAGAGACCTCTTGCTGGGTAGGCAATTTATTTTTTCCTTCGCCCTGTGTTACTGGGACACTGAAGGAGAGTGAGGGTGGAGTAGGGGAAAAGTGGAGAGCAAATCTAGATATGTTTTCCATTACACACAATAAACTAAACAGCCACTTTTTGGTATGCCTTTCCTCACAGGTTCCAATAAAGGTGTCATTGATAAGTGCTGGAAGATTAGACATTTCCCCAATGAATTTATTGTTGAGACCAAGATCTGTCAAGAGTGAGAAGCAACAAAAAAGAGAATTCTTAGTAATAAGAAGTCAGAGAATTACAGTATGACTTCAACATTAAATTATATGTGATACTCCAGATATTTACTCATGCATTTATTCCTTATACTAAAATAAAAGGGGGGCAACCCTACTAACCACTGTAAGCTCTGTTAATTTTTAGTTTAATTGGAATTGCTTGTTGGATACTAAAATTAAATAATGCTTATATTTTTCTTATGAATTTATAGGGTTTAGTTTTGTGAAAGCAGCATGAATTATGTCAGCTAACATCCTGACGACAAATCCCATCCTTTGTGTTCTTTCTTAAATTACTCTTCACTAAGTCATAAGGTAGAGCATGTTTTAAATTTAAATATTTAAATTTGTTTTGACCATTTTTCTGTAAAGTATGTCAAATATCTTGTCATTGTTGTTTTTTATTTTATTTTGCGCAACTTTCCTAAATTTAGAAATTACCTCTTTCCATTTATGTTAGGTATTCAGTAATAAATATGACTTATATGTGAACATTTTTTCATAAAGAAGTCATTTTCACTAATGCAGTGATTCTTTCTCATTGATATCTGTATTGTAAAACCCACAAAACTGTAGAAGTGCTGAATGCTGGAAGAAATTTAGGTTGTATGAATTCTACAACCTATAATAAATTTCACCAAATTCAACCACTGTTTCTCATTAAAGGTATACTTAGTGTGAACAATTAATATTACTTATTTAGCTTTGGTGTACCTGCAATAGGTCCAAAATTATGAGCTTAATTCTGCCCTCACTCCCACCTCCACCATTTACAAATTATAGCAACCTATATTTTAATTCTCTTTTGATATTATATCAAGTAATCTTTTATAAATACCCCATAATTGGCTTACATGTAAGTTTAACTTTTTGTAAGAGCTTTCAGGATCATAGCAATTTCAAACTTGTTCATGTGTTTATTTTTTTCATAAAAAATAACCATACACAGTTATGGTAGGTCACTAAGAACTAACTTTGGATAAGATGTTGGCGACTTTTAATAACTTCACATGCTGTGATGGCCACTCACTTACCTAAGAGTATAAGCTTCATACAAAAGGGGCCATTACTTTAGACTCTTTCTCTTGTGTTAGGTTAAACATTGTTCCTGATATCAATGACCACTTGCTGGTTGTGACTGTTGGTTAATTTCAGTAGCCAAAATTGTACCCACTCAAATCTATAGCCCTAAATAATCTTTTCTAGAAAGAAAAGACATTAACTACATTTTAAAGAATTGTTTCTTTTTAATTTTTTTGATTTTTAAATTACAGTTTATATTCAATATTAATTTGTATAAATTTCAGTTGTACAGCATAGTGGTTACCCAACCATAAACTTTATAAAGTGCTCCCCTGATATTTCCAGTACACAACTGGCATTATACATAGCTATTATAATATTATTGACTATATATCCTATGCTATACTTTATATCCCCATGACTATTTTGTAACTTCCACGCTGTATTTCTTAATCCCTTCACCTTTTCACCCAGTCCCCCAACCCTCTCCCCTCTGGCAACCATGAGTCTATTTTCTGTATCTATAGGTCTGTTTCTGTTTTGTTTGTATTATTCCTTAGATTCCACAAATCATGTGGTAATTGACTTTTTCTGACTGACTTATTTCACTCAGCATAATAATCTCTAGGTCCATCCATGCTGTTCCAAATGATAAGATTTATTTTCTTTAATTGCCAAGTAATATTCCATTGTATATATGTACCACAGCTTTTTTATTCAGTCGTCTATTGATGGGCACTGGGTTTCTTTTATAACTTGACTATCATAAATAATGCTGCAATTAACATAGGGGTGCATATATTCTATTAACTACATATTTAACTTTAAGATTTTAGAAATAGTATAATAACACAAATCTTTAAAAATGGGGAAAAGATACTATAATTAGAAAATCACAACAGTAGCTGAAAAATTCAAAAACTGATTCTTTATAAAGAATGAGAATATTTAGCCCAGCCAGCATGGCTCAGTGGTTGAATGTCGACGTATGAACCAGGAGGTCATGCTTTGATTCCCTGTCAGGGCTTATACCTGGGTTGTGGGCTCAATCTCCATTAGGGAGCATTCAGGAGGAAGCCGACTGATGATTCTCTCTCATCACTGATGTTTCTATCTCTCCCTCTCATTCCTCTCTCTGAAAGCATAAAATCATATTTTTAAAAAGAATGAGAATATTTAGAAGGAATTTGAAAAATTAGATACCCATTCCTTATTTTAAAATATGTATAAAATTAAGAAACTGGAGACACTGTTCTTACAAATTTATCTTAATAAATTTGTATTCAGCATCATGAATAATAGTGCAACCCAAGAAAGGAAGCTGGCTATTGCAGCTATTCTGTATTGTTTTAGACATTCTGGTCAATGCAATAATGTGAAACAAATAACAAGTATCACTTATTAATGAGGATAAAGTTGTGCCGATTACCATAATTTTTATATGAAAAACTAGTGGATTAATTGAAAACTTTCAAAACCAATAAGAAGATTTAGTACAATATAAACAAAACCCAATGGTTTTTCTTTATATCACCAACAACCAGGTAAGAAGTTAATGTAGGGAAAACAAATATTCTACTAATAATAGCAACAGGGACCTAAAATAACAACAAGCAAGAAATGTTGGAATTACTATGAAGGAAACCACAAAACTTCCTATATAATAAGAGGCTAATATGCAAATTGTCCCCTCGGGAGTTTGACCGACTGGGAGTTGAACCATTCGCTATGATGTGCACTGACCACCAGGGGGTGCCATGGAATAAAGGAAGGCCCTGGCTGGCAGCCAGAAGACCCCGATCGGCCCTGATCACTGGCCAGGCCTAGGGACCCTATCCGTGCATGAATTTTGTGCACCAGGCCTCTAGTAAGTGTTATAAAAGAAGAGTTGAGTAAATGGAGCAGGAAGAAAGAACATTACAAATAGAGAAGTTGTTCCTCAACTACATTTATTGGTTTAACCCATCCCAATCAAAAGAACAAAAGAATTGTTTTTGGAACTTGACAAAATTACTTGAAGGTTCATCCAGAAGCATAGATAGGTGAGAATAGCTAAAGAAAATAATGAAACAAACAAAAACGAGAGTAATTGGAAGCAGTGTTTTATTACATAAACTACATCACAGCCAAATTTATAATAATTTTAAAGGTGACATTCACACAAGATAAAGAATATAGTACCAAGAAAGAGACCTAGTATGTAAAAGAATAGAACTTAAAGGTAATTCCATGCAGTGAGATGCATTGTTTATCAAAAGTCTTTGTTGCTATAGTATGAAATAGCATAAGGCTAGCAACCCCATTGCAACCACATAAATTTTTACCACTAATAATTATTTTGAAAAATAGAAAACCTTCAGAGGCATTAAGAGTGTAACTGAATAAAAACTAGATGCTGGAACCTATGAGAAATTGATAAGTGACAGGCACTAGCTATCCCATTATTTGTCCACTAATTCAGAAGCCAGGGTCAGTGTAAACCAGAAAAGTGGGCAATTATCTATCTAAAACATGCTGTATGAAGCACGTTTGTTTTTCACAACTTGTGCTATTTTCCATTCTAACCTTTAATCCACCACCCCTGTTTATTGACTGCATTAATTTATGTGCTCATTAATTCACTCATTTGTCAAGCAATATTCTAGTCATTGAGGACGTGTACAGTTGTGAGCAAAATAGACATAGGCACCAAACATTGAGCATCTAGTCTCCTAGAAAGGATAAACCTTATTTTTTAAAAAAATAATTGCACTATTCTTTATCAAGAAAAATTTTACAGTGCTTATGAGAGCTTAAAATGGGGAGTCAATCCTAAACTATTAATGAACTCTTAACTGAGAATGTAAAATTTGAGCTAAGAACTGAAAGACAAGCGAGTAGTATAAATGAAGCATATTAATGGAGAACATTTCAGTAGGAGGAAATTGGGAGCTAAGTACCTGAGGCAAGAAGTGTGGTTGATGGAGAAAGTGAGGTGGAGCTCACTAAGTAAAGACAATTGTATGAAAAGAAGTTGGAAAAATAGATCCAGATCATGTGAGACCTTGTAGATTATGTCATAAAAATTGATGTTATTATTTTTAATTATTTTAAATTTTATTTTTCAATTACAGTTTACATTCAATATTGTTTTATATTAGTTTTAGGTATATAGCACAGTAGTTAGGCAATCATATACTTTACAAGGTGGTGCCCCCAATATTTCAAGTACCCACTTGGCACCATACATAACTATCACAATATTATGGACTATATTCCTTAGGCTGTACTTTACATCCCCATGAGTACTCTGTAACTACCAATTTGAACCTCTAAATAGGAAACCATTGAGAGGCTTTAATCAGGACCATAGAAGGGAATGAATTGATATTTTTTTAAAGATCACCTTGGTTGCAGAGAGAAAAAATGTATTAAAGCAAGACAAATGGGAAGAAAGTAAGACCAGTTAGGAGGCTTTTTCAATATTCCAAGAAAAAGTTGATAATAGATTGGACTAGGAAAATGACAATGATCTACACTAATAAAAGAGAAACATGGTAATTGGCGTACGGCCGCTACCCTTTTCATTGGCTAATCAGTGAGTATATGCAAATTACCTGTCAGCCAAGATGGCGGCCGGCAGCCAGGCACTGAAGCGAGCATGAGGCTTGCTTGCTGCAGACTCCAACGTTC